GTGCGTCATCGGACAATATCCGTTAAAGTTCGTCTTACTCATTATTTAATTAGGTCATGCCGTCAACGAAAAGATTCAAATTCAATAACCAATTGCATCTGTCATAAAGCTATTGTAAGTAAAGGTAGGGTAGTGTATTAACTGTAACGATATCCCTCGGGGGCTCTACCAGCAGTTGTATGCACCTGTCACTAACACATTCTACCAGAAGTCTGTCACGAGATTTCTGAATAAGGGAAACTTGAGAGTATATTAATTTCGATTGTATCTCGTTTCTCGATTGTACATTTTGGCAGTTATACAATATAATAGTAAACAAAAAACAGCTAGCGATATGAACATGTCTATTTTACATGCCTACAAAAAAATTTATCTTAAAAGCTTAATAATATAATATATAACACTTTTATAAAATGTGGTTTAAATCAAAAATAAAATTGTCAAATCAAAAAGCATAAAAACCAATTTTATGCTTTTATGTTTTTATGCTTTTTGATTTGACAATCTTAATAATATATTATATATTATTTACAAATTATAAGATAAATGTATACAGATATTCGATCCTTTTATCTGTGAGTTTTCTCGAACAATCTGAAGAAATTTTTTTTGTTATATTAAATATGGGAGTACTTACAACTTGCGATGCAACAAAACTCTGAGAAATGATTTCATCAAAGGGAAGTAACGAATTTTCAAAAATACGAGATAATACGCAACACGCGGCGATAAAAATCAATACTCTATAAACGCAGTATTTAAAGAGAAGCTGCTAAACGCTTTCCTGCGGTGCACGGGTGCAGTCGATCACCGAGACACAAGATGGGGAAACGCAAACTGCCGAAGACCACTTTTCCCGCACCGTGATCGATCAGGTCTTCTAAGTCTCATTGCAGTCCACCGTGTATTAAGTCTTGCCACAGTAGTCGCTGCTGTGTCAGCCACATTCATCGAGACACGAGGGACTACGAGCGCCTCAGGAAACACGCGAGTGCTTCGCCGCATCTAATTTTATCTCTACCGAAGGAGTTCGAAAGTAGCGCCATGCTGATAATTTGTACTTTGCATGCAGATTTTAGAGAACCAATAGATAAACGTTTGAGTTTCTAGAGGGAACAATGAATTATTGCGTGGTGCTAATGATATTTCAATTCCTCGAGACTTTTCCGAAGACAGAAATTTGTACAAGCAACCGTATTAAGACTTTTCAACCATTCAAGTTGTTGATAACTTACGTTTAAACGCAAATTTAACTTGGTACAAATTAAACACACTCGAGAAATTGAAAAAAGATAAAAAATAAAATTTATATGTCCATTCTTTCTATTATATATCCAATAAAATAATGACTATAGTCACTGGGATTGAAGTATATCATCAAATAATCGTATAAATCAAACTTGAAAGGCAATTATACGGTCTTTGAAGCTAATACTACCAATAGGAGGCCAAAGGAAGATCAAAAGAAATAAGTACTACAGATATGTGAAATCAGATGTATGATTAAATGCGATTTACGATTAATGATGCTTCTTGTGCGGCATGCACAGAATATTAGAAACATAACATTAAAACGACCCGATTTTACTTTCCGATTTTATAATTTCCATCTAGGACGTCTATTACTATGTAAGCTACGGCATGAGAGCCATGTACCATCGACTTGTGGCGACATTAATTAAACGTGCAACTAGTAATCGTACATACCACGATGGAATTCAGCAATACGTCTAAGATTGTCTAAATTTCATTTAGAATTATAGTATATGCGTTTCGTCCTAATCGCGAATAAGTGGACGGAGGGCTATTTTCGATTTGGAGCAAAGCAATGCGCATAATGACGATCATACGTCGGAAATAGTGACACGAGATCAATGAACAGAGGTGCGATCGCCTGTTGCAAGCGCAAAAAATTTCGTAAATTTACAACAAATAAATGGCGACATGTAAATGCGCTGCGCGATTACAGGGAGATGCCGGAGTAGCGATCAATCCGGTCGAATATGCGAGAGCGCCCGCCGTTCACCGGGGGTGGCGGACCTTCGTCCGCCTTTCGGCGGCGGCTTCGCTAAACCGGGATCGTGCAATACTTACGATTTCAGCCTCATCAGCCACGTTGATACGACACACATTTTTTTCGCGTCATCCCGCTCGACTTGGGTCCCGGGTCGCGGCTCGAGGTAGCTCGGTACTCTCAGCCGGCGTAGTTGGTTCGTGAAAGAAGAACGACGACGACGACGACGACAGCAGCGGTAGCGATGTCGACGACGGCGACGGCGGCAGCGGCGGCGGCGGCGGCCGCGCCGGATGCGGAAGATCGGATAGACGAGAAGTCGGAGGCAACGAATTACGCAAATGAGTTATTTGCTGAGAACGTGAGCGTCGGCGACGGCGAAGGTGGCGGCGGCGGCGGCAAGCGTCGATAGAGACGCAAAGGCCGTGCCGAAAGCGAAGGCGACTCACCTCGTACTCTCCTGCGGGCCGAGCTATTTTCAGCATCGATCCATTTCCATCGGAGAAGAAACATGCGCACGGCCACACCACCCACCGCCCCCGACGACGACGGTAGCGACGGCGGCGGCCCCAAGAGTTGGCGGCGTTTCCTGTCAAAGCGATATGGAATCGCGACCAACGAGATTTAAGGGTGAAGGGTGATGATTGGAAAATCATGATACTTGGGTTTTGATAATGGCATCAGGGAGTAAAGAACGAAAATCATCTATTAATCTGGGAGGCAGCTCGATTTTTCATCATTCATTTACCAAATTTACTCCATAAATTTTATTGTCAACCCAAGTAAATGGTTGCTGAAATGACGGTCTGGCCGCTGGACAAGGCAAGACGATACGTTCTTAGACTTGTTAAAAAAACAATGTATTTATGTTATATAGAGTACCAAGACTAAAACTTTTTTTACTAATTGCCGACTTTATTAAAAATGATATAATCATAAGCTGATAGCAATCCTTTAGCGTAACATGATGATACATCTTCAATCATGTAAAAAAAAATAATGCCTTAGCTTTGTAATAGCAAAGTTTGAATTGTTTATATAATGTTAAGTTAATAACTTAATAAATGTAAAAAAAAACAGTAGTCTAGCCGGAACGAAAGCCTTTGGGAGATAATAATGACGACAGTGGAAGTTCTTGATGGAACGTCAGTAAACATCCTAAAACGTTTGTCATTGTGATATTATATCGTTTTTAATAAAATCAGTATCTTGTTATAGACATTATTATAACAAAACGTTAAATCGAGACATAAGACATTTTCAAGATATCTTTTAGATGTTTTGAAAAAAAAAAGAACACCTTTCAAATATCTTTAAATCTTTAGTCTCATTTTTTGAACATGCTACCTGGATAATTTAAGAAGTTTTAGCCTTGGCACAGTAATGTAAATGCATTACTTTATTTACAAATTTGAACACGTACCGTTTTGCTCCGTCCCGCAGTACCACTGCCCGTTATTTCAGCAATCGTCTATTTTGTATAACATTATAACAATAAAAGTATAATGATAAAATTTATAAAGTAAGCGTGGTGAAATGGGTGAAAAATCCTCTCAGCTGTCTCTCAAACTGTATGAACTATTAGAAAAACTTAAAGAATTAATTAAATCGCAAAGATGAGATGCTAATTTTATGCGGATTTAGAGTCCATATTGATCAGAGTATAATTAGCTCTGTTACTCCAGTTCCTATAGCGTGGATTGTACGAATCGGCATAGTCTAATAATACATGTGGTATACAGAACTCGTTAAATAGAGCTCGGAAGTATACCACAGTTCCTGTACCCTGTACGATAACAGAAATGCGTTCAGCAAAGAAAACTAATTAGTTAACGCTTAGTAATTCTTTAATATGATTGATTCCTACATTTAGATCCAGCACAGAACTAAAGGCAAGAACCAATCATATTAAAGAATCACTAAGCGCTCACCAAAATGAGTCTTGTACTAAAATATTACAATAAGTTTATCATCAAGCAAACTTACGAATGATAATATTGATATACAATATTATCCTTTTTTTTTCAATAATGTCTAATTGTTATAATCGGAAAAAAAATTTTAACTACATTAAAGACGGGAATGTTAGGCTTGGTACAAAAATACTATGAGAGAATATACCTTGTCATCGATGGTCAAATGTCTTTTTTTTACGAACAGAAAAGATTAACATGAATAGAGATGGTATATATTGTTAACAATGGAAACAATATATTATCTACAATCAAGACTCTCTTTCGGGACATATATTCGAGGTTTAGTAATCTTGTGGCTCTCGCAATATATGTAGGCATGTATATACGATGTATATACATATTCGTATATATTTCTCTTCTTCATACATATATTTCTCCTCTTTGAAATTGTACGTTTATTTTACACGTGGAATTAATATATAATTAATAATAATACGAATAATAATAATAACAATAATTATAAGAATAATAATGTACATACTTTCACCGTTGTTGTTTACATAATCATGACGGTAATCAGAACCATGCGTATAATGATCATAATTATGACGTAATTAGTACAGGTTTGCCAAGTGAGGAATCTCTGTCGAAAAAATTTGATTCGCTTGATTTGATACAAATATATGCATCCGAGATTTTTATTCAAGACACAATCGCGCCGTCTATTGTTACGCAGGACGATCATACGTTAACAACTGTTTACCACGATCACTCGACAAAACAGCACATACAATAATAATAATAATAATAATAATAATAATTCGGATAATAATAATTAGAAAAATTAATAATGATGAATTTGAATAACTATCCATCCCCCCCGCTCTCTCTCTCTCTCTCTCTCTCTCTCTCTCTCTCTCTCTCTCT